AAGTACAATGGTTTATTTACAAAAGTACAGTGAACTTTCGCCAACCATCGTGAAACAATATTAATATAGAATAGATATGTGATGGAACTTAATGTTGTTACAACATACATAACCTAGCTTACACTTAGGGTATATTCAAATATGAGGAATGATGTTTCAATGAGAAAAAACGAGATTAATATGCAAACGAAGGATAGAGTAGAGTATAATCTAATGTTCATCTGACGATACACTTGATAGGTCTAACTTGGAAATGTTATTCTTATTTTTCTTCCGCGACAAACAGGTTCGTCAACTAGATGAGAAAAAGAGTTGGTTGTATAAGCTAAAAATAATGCGTTGGATTTCAACAAATGTAATAATTTTTCGACTTGTTTAGTTTTACGAGCTGCTTTACGAATTAATTTTTTCGGTTGAGCAGAAGAAAAACCTAATCGAGTTTAAGCCATTCTATGAGATATTACACTTTCTTCTTGCGTTAAGCATTGAATGAATCTCCATATATATGTCAGCGTCCAAACTGAGATTACGTCCAATCTCAGATTGGCCTAGGCGAATGCCGGATCCGAGATTGGACGCGTCCAATCTCGGATTGACGCAATTCTGTTCATTAAAATATCAATTACCCTGTAGACAGACCTTGGATTAGAACTATTTTTTTTGAGTTATGTTCACACGATGCCAGTTTGTTTGGCACAATTGTCATTTGACAAATTTGAATAAAATTTTAGGAGTTATGAATAAATTTCTAGAGAACAAGAACTTTTATGAAAAACTTTTATTACATTTTTGAGTCTAAATTTTGCTTCTTCCTAAATGCTTGTAATACTTAAAACGGCATTGTGTGAACATAATTTCAAAAAATAGTTCGAATCCAAGGTCTGTCTAAAGGGTAATTGATATTTTAATGAACAGAATTGCGTCAATCCGAGATTCGACGCGTCCAATCTCGGATTCGACATTCGCCTAGGCCAATCTGAGATTGGACGTAATCTCAGTTTGGACGCTGACATATATTTGGATGTGATTGCACAACACGTGAAAAACACACGTTTATTTTGTGCTGAAATAAAAAATTAGACTGTGAAGACTAAGTCCACAAGACTTCGTTTAAAATCATTTCAGAATACTATTTTACTTTCAGCATAATTGTTCGTTCTCCACGTACTTTTACCAACAGACCAAGTTGAAGGTTTGAAAACATTCATCCATTCATTTTCAAAATAAATAATAAATGGTATCAATTCTATTGCTTGTAGTGAAACTTCTACCTTTTGTTTTAATATCGCATATCCTTCATTAATACGATCAATAGGTAAGATAGCTAAACAGATAAAAGCACGTAAAAATTGTCTTGCTTCATTATCAGTTTCGTACAAATTCATTAAACCAAGTGTCTGTATGTTTCTATAGCATGATTGACAAAAATGCAACCAACATCACGTTATTGCTGTAAGTGGTAACTAAATTTGAAAGGCACAAAAAAGAACACACTTTTGAACAAAGCAGGTGAAACAAGGGAAATATATGTACCTCTTTTGCTACAGCATTCAAAAACGTACGTTCGAAATCACAAATGATCATTGAAGGATTTAAATCAGCATCAAGTTTTCATCCAATCCTTTTTAAACATCGAAAAATTGCTTCATATGTTTCATGGTGCCTGTTAGACGTCAATATGAAGCAAACAGGAAGAGCTAAACATAAAAGATGAATAAAAGAAAAGCTACTATTCGATTTAACTAGCAAATATTAAGTAAGATTCAACACATAAACCTCTTCGTGTTGTAAGCCATGAATGACATAAAATTGTTCAAATATATTTGGTGAGACTTTGAACGTGCCATCAGCAAACAGCACATCAGATTGAAACAAAACTTGTAATTGCTCATCCGACGCAAACATTTATAAGCGTTCATCATAAGCGCTTTTCCTTTTGTCATATATTAAAAAGCGCTGATTACAATATGTTTCTTGATAGGTCGCTGGAGTTAAGAATTTTTGGTCATTCAGTATAGGTGGTAATGTTTTACGACGTAGCTTGTGTAAGTCAGATTCTAAAGAATGAAGAAAGATTATTTTTAAATTAATTAATATTAATGAGGAAAGAGCAAGCCTTCCGTATCGATATGAACTGGAAGTGGCATTATGCGTTTGTCTTCTTCAGATACCGGGTGATCCAAAAGTTTTGCAACATTTTGTCTTTTACATATATCTCAGTACAGACAAAAGATAAAATCTTGAATTTAATTTAAAAAGATGTGTTTTTCAATTCTCTACAAACTGGTATTTAGCTTAATTTAAAATAATAGAACTGAACGTTTCTATGGGTCAAATAGTATGATGGTATGAATTGCATTTATTTCCCACACATTCTTTTATGAAATTATTTTTTTTCTGTACGAACGAATGTTTTGTTTTAGAAATAAGTTATTGTCAGATAGCTCTTGAAAGCTTCGGCCGATTGCGTATATATTTAACGTTCATTCTTTCTATTAGACAGAATTTTTGTCAAAGCAATATTTTGCGAATCGTCAAATTCCCTATCCACCATTCCTTGCTAGAAAAACATGCCTGAAAAGACGCGCCCTGCGCTCAAACCGAGCTCGCTTTTACAAAGCGCTGTCATAGACGGACTTCTCTTTCTACTTAAAGTTAGAAAAACATTTAGTAAAACAAGTCAATTGAAAGAAGAATCTAGAAGTTGTCAAGAATGCTAATTTTGCAGTAGCATATTTGGTAGACCATTTTCATTTGGCCTAAATAGATTTTAATCGAACACAGATGAATTACTCTAAAACAGCATTGATATGTGATAGCATTGTTAATAATTAGATCTTTTAGACATCTGTTTATAACACGAGAAAGTTAGAGAATGTGTCATTAGAAATGGTGCGGGAAGTTGATGCAATTCATACCATCATACTATTTGACCCATAGAAACGTTCAGTTCTATTATTTTAAATTAAGCTAAATACCAGTTTGTAGAGAATTGAAAAACACATCTTTTAAAATTAAATTCAAGATTTTATCTTTTGTCTGTACTGAGATATATGGAAAAGACAAAATGTCGCAAAACTTTTGGATCACCCGGTAATTTAGCTTTTCTGTATTCATCTTCAATGATTGCTTTAGTTGGAATAAATTTATCAAGAACACGACTTTTGATCTTTGACAAAATTTCACGTTTTCGAGTATCGTGTAAATCAGATGAATGAAAATGAAATTTTCCATTCCAATGATTAAATTGTTCGATACTCTTGAACGTATAAAATACTGATTTACAATTTTCATCTCTTCGTACACAACGCCAACCAATAGTATCTTTTGTTTGATTCATATGTAAGTAGCCACAATCGTTCATAAAAATCATTTTACCACGTCGGATCAATGTACCTGTAGTAATTCTTCCCTTCACTATCGGTTTGTGTGCAATACCATTTGAATTACTAGCATGCATATCATCATCATCTTTATCCGATAATTCAACTGGTACTAAAGGATAATCATTATTAACATTTTCAACTGTTGCTGATCCTGTATTCCCGATCAATGATACAGTTGGTTTACTTGAGCCAATTGATGACGATAGCGAAGAAGTTATTAATTCATGATTAGGAAGATTTAACGATATTCCTTGATTCGCTGCATATGTTGGTTCACCATCAGTCTGAGCTCGTAATGCAGCAGCACGAGTGATGACAGGCATCAGTCGAACAACGATATCTAGAACGATAAATGACTTTATGATCACAAGACAGACAAACATAACCTACTAATCTAATCGATAGGCACTTTTTTTTATCAACATTAAGTCCATTCTCAGGCAGTCCAAATTTTTGGAGCCTATTGGTGAAAGTCATATTGGCGAAGTTCCCACCACCCAATGAACACTTCTTGATTTCAGAGAAACATAACGAACAACAACACATTTCTGGTAATTTATTTTGTCATAATCTGAAAATTGGTCGTAAGAAATACTCTCCGAGATAATAAAAAGAAGTGTTATAATGTTGTTTTGAAGTGCAACACCAAACCATTGAGGATGTCACTGTACAACACTTACGATATGTACGCTTCGAGCTTTCTCACATTCATGAAAATAGGTAAGCGAACTCATTCATTTCAGGTGATTTCAAAATGAATAATTTCTCTTTATCATTCTAATTTACTTATTTTAGAATAATAATGTTTGCTTCACAGAATTAGACAAATTGACTTATCTTGATCATTGTTACTACTGGCACCTTTCTACTAAAATGAACATCGACCACATAATTATCGTGTGATTGTTGCCAATCTTCGTGATTGTCTTTTCTATTCAGTTTTGACTATGGTTTTTTTCTCTTAATAAGAAGCAATAAAAAGGCTTGGAAAGAAAAAGTTTTATAAAATAATGGTTACTTTGCCACTGGTAAAGCCACAAAAACACATCAGAGAACCATGTATATGAGCTTAGAAACATATATTTTTCGAAATGATTCTGGATGTTCAAAATCAAATCTATCATTTTTTACATATACTTTATGTTGACAGAAGAAAAAAAAAGTTCAATGTGTATTCTTAACAAAGGAATTTGATACAAATGTCCTTTCAATTTAGATGTTTTTTCTGATCATGTATACCGATTTGTGAATACGGTGGTATTTGATATCATCTTATTTAATAGTAAATATTACATAGATCTGTAGATGAGAGTAATTTCGTGCGTTCTCTAGAATGAATATTTTTGTTGAAGAACTTAAGTAAAAGAAAACAGTATCTAATAGACAATAACAATATATTTGAATTTTGATCAAAGAATGACTTCTTGAATTATACAAGAAATAGTACGATAGCAATCAATCATATTCATGCGCAGAAGTCAGGTCAATATACAGCAGATTGTTTTTCGTACTGTCAAGATTGATGACAGTCTGATTAATATTTTCTATTTTGCTCATGGTCAACATTCAACAATTCCTAGACTTAGTTATCAATCTTTGATTTCCATATGGATCAAATTGTAGTATCATACTAAACTTTAGAAGCGGCTTTATAATCATTTGAGTCAATATATATATATAACGTTTAATCTTAATGCATTAAGTTACGTACGTCTGAATTCAGCACCCAAAGTTTTACGAAGAAATTTTTTTGTGAAAAAAAACACATGGTTATATAGAGTAAACAGAGTCTAATATCACTGATTAAAGGTTCACATCTGGTTTCGTTATACGAACGAATGATATCGCGTATTGTTTCTACATTCGTTTTGAAACTTAATTACAGTAAATTTTTTTTTTTGATAATATTTATAAACAGATATAATTTAATGTTTTAAAAAATCTCTTATAAATCTAAGAAAAATTTAATTAGTTTTACATAGGCGCCTTAAACATGTTTGAATGTAACCAAGTTCAATACTCTAATGGTGTATGTAACGAACACCACTATGAATGTATGTTTCGATGATTAGTTCTTCACAACTAATGATTGAAGGCAAAAGGAACAAGAATGAAATGAATTGATTTTCATTCAATCATTTTCTCTGTTCAATAGATGTCACTTCAATCATTTCCGTCAATCTCCAATAGTAATTTGTGAATCATTTGACGAGAACGAAGAAGAACCTTGGATAGCTCAAAAAAAAGTTTGTTTATTTATTTTCCGTCTCACTTTTAATTGTAACAGTTTTACTGTTCTGTTTGTACGTTAGTTTTGCATTTTTCAATATTTATTAGCCTTTTTTTTTAGATAGATGCCTAAGCGCGTTCACAGCGCTAGTGATCGCGATGATGATGCTGAACCATCTAGTAATCAAAGTGCACCGAAACGTACTCGAAAAGCAATTTATGATCTAGAAATTGTACAAAAAGAAAAATTTTCTTTTTTCCAAAGATTTATTAATAATTTTTATATTTTCTTAGAATGATATTTGTCAAGAATTATATGATGCTATACGTGCTTATAAATCTGAAGATGGTCGACTTGTTTGTGAAAATTTTATACGTTTACCAAGTAAAAGGTATTCCTCTTTCTTTTTTAAATTATATATTTCAAAACTCATTTTCTTCTTTTCTTATTATAGAACACATTCAGATTATTATACGTTAATAAAACAACCGATTGATTTAATTCGTATACAACAAAAAATTCGTACTGATGAATATCAAACATTGGAACAATTTATTGATGATATTGAATTACTTTTAACAAATGCAAGAACTTTCTATCGAGTAAGATTCATTTATTCAAAAGCATCCTTTTTTTTTGTTTGAAGAACAATTTTTTTCTATTAGAAAAATTCCAATGAATGTCGTGATGCAAACGATTTATCAAAATATTTCTATTCAAGATTAAATAATGAAAATTCAAATCAGAAACGAATTTTAAAAAAAGTAAATATCAAACATATTGTTTTTTTTGTATTAGAAAGAAAAACAAAATTATTTTCTTATTTTCATCTTCAATTAGAATCATGAAATAGATAATGAAGAAATCATTGAAAAAAAACGACGTGGAAGTCGTCAATCAAATGGTATATTAACAAATGGTACAACTATAAAAATTGAACATGATGAATCAAATAATAATAATAATGATAATAATTTTTCCATTGATCCATATTATTTCGAAGAATTTTTTACAGCTATTTATAATGCAAATATCAATGAACGTGTTATGTCGGAAATTTTTTTATTTTTACCATCACGAAAAGTAAAAATTTTTTTTTTTATATTCAATTCATTTATTTTTTATTTTCTTTTTGTCAAAAAGCTTTATCCCGATTATTATTTAATTGTAACAAATCCAATTGATTTAAAAATGATAGCAACAAAAATACAGAAAAGTCAATATTTAACATTAGATGATATGGAAAATGATTTATTATTAATGATTTCTAATGCAAAAAAATATAATGATCCAAAATCACAAATTTATAAAGTAAAAGAAAAAGAAAACATAATCAAACTGAAATTTTCTTTATCAAGAGCTTTAGTTTTATGAATAGTTGATGAATACTATGTTGTGATCAGTATGATGTCGTTTTGCTAACTAGGGAACTATTTCAAGTGATACTTGCTGTTTGATCTCATATTTAACCTACAAATAGGTCTCAGTGGGAATACCTTAAGCATAAAAGAGTTCGTCGAGTTATTCGATTTTTGTAACATGTTTGTAGTATAGAATTATTTTTGGGAAATTCAATATCTTGATCAAGGAACATTCTTTTTGACTGAACCTTTCAAAATATTTTAAAAGCAGCTAGACTTAAGTATTGGTAAAATATTACATCGAAACTCTTTCATTTGATCTTTTGGAAACTTTCTATTCATCAATCAAAAAATCGACTTTTTCCAAGTATTGCTAAGTCCTCACTATAGATAAAATCTCAGCTCAAAAGATGATTGTCACCTGTAAGGTACAACACTTCAGTCTAGTCCAAAAATATTTGTAATCTTAAACAAAAAATCAAATTATTTGTGTTATTTTCTTTTATAGGATGCATGTGCATTACGAAAATTGATAACAACAGTTCGACATGAACTTGAATTAGCTTTAAAAACAAAAAATGATCGATTAAGATTACGTAAACGTGATGTACTTTTATCATCAGAAATTGCAAATATAGATTATCCAGAAGAACCAGATGATGAAGATGTTATACGAATACAACAAGATCGACAACAACAAAATGATGATGGAATTGATTCAGATACAAGTTCACTTGGTGAAGAAGAAGATTCTTTTAGAATTTTATATAATGCTGTTAAAACTTATAAACTTGGTGCACAAAGTCTTATTGATCCATTTATGAAATTACCTAATAAAAGATTTCATCAAGATTATTATGAAGAAATAAAAAAACCAATTGCTATGTCATTGATTAAAAAATATATTAAAGTAAAATGAAGCACGAAAAAAGAAAAGAAAAAAAAATTCATTATTGATTATAAATATAATTTTTGTTTGTTTGATTTTTTTTTCCTAGAAAGGACGATATAATAATTTAGCTGACCTTTTTGATGATCTCAAATTAATGTTTAATAATGCTATGCAATATAATCAAGAAGGCTCATTGATATATAATGT